GGGGGGGGGTTACTGATTGGCTAATGGTTACACAAGACAAAACATCGTTATGACATCATTAAGTGGCCAAAATCTGATCAGCTCATTTTCAGACAGGTTTTTATAGAAATGGATCAAAAAGAGAGAGAATCTTTGTTCCTGAAACTTTCAGAGTCTCTTTCCACAGAGGGGACACATGTTGATGTAGAAGAGACATGAAGAAGAGGGGACACATGTTGATGTAGAAGAGACATGAAGAAGAGGGGACACATGTTGATGTAGAAGAGACATGAAGAAGAGGGGACACATGTTGATGTAGAAGAGACATGGAGAAGAGGGGACACATGTTGATGTAGAAGAGACATGAAGAAGAGGGGACACATGTAGAAGAGACATGGAGAAGAGGGGACACATGTTGATGTAGAAGAGACATGAAGAAGAGGGGACACATGTTGATGTAGAAGAGACATGGAGAAGAGGGGACACATGTTGATGTAGAAGAGACATGGAGAAGAGGGGACACATGTTGATGTAGAAGAGACATGAAGAAGAGGGGACACATGTTGATGTAGAAGAGACATGAAGAAGAGGGGACACACGGTGATGTAGAAGAGACATGAAGAAGACACAAATATTATTTTAGACGGCTTCCCCTGGTTCTGATCCTCCTTACCGAGGACCGGGCCGAGCCAGTACACGAAGCAGTACTCTGGGTAGGAGTGTCCGCTGCAGGGGAACTGGACGGAGAAGGCCAGGACCGGGTTGAAGACGGCACCGGAAACACTTCCACCTGGAGAGAGGACAGAGAGGAGAGAGAGGGAGAACCAGCAGGTAACATATCAACTTCTTATTATACATTGTTTTGTATGGCACCTTTAAAAAAAAAAAAAAAAAAGGTACTTAAAGGCATTTTACACTTTACGTGTTGTTCCCATTAGCATTTAGGTATCTAGCGGTTGCTATTATTTATTTTTTTCACTTGTCAATCCTTCTGTGAAATAGAAGGAACTCATTTTATATTTCAGTCAGGATGGATGCACCTCCAAGAAAGTATGATCATCTTCAGGTTTATAAAATATACAAGAAGGTATTCTTACACTAGTTGTAAATAACAGACTGATTAATCAACAGAGAAATGTGGATTGTTATTATAGTTATAATACCAAGCAGGCGTTACATCATAATATTGTTGATTTAATTGTAATATATTGTCATTGATTTCAAATCATGTGTTTGCCTTTAACAATTGTATTTTTATTTTAAAATTCGTTTTTTGTAGTTAGTTTTTGTTTCCTTGTCTGTGATCAATTACTTAGTTCTAGGTTAATAGTGTTGTCTTTCATATTATATTTGAATTGACTTTAATTTGTTAAACCGGCTAAAAAACAATCCTCTTTTTTATAATTTGTTTTATTGGGCTTTATTTTCTAACATTAATGTTATACATAATATGGTTTGTCTTTGCATGTCCATGGTACATAACGTGCCTAAAGCATATTTAAACCATCTCTTATTGTCAGCCCAATGGTCGCAGGTAAAAAGCTTCCAGGTTAATAATCAACTCACCTGCGTAAACCGCAACAGTGACTGCGGCAGCGATGAAGTGAGTGCGAAGTTTTTCGTCCAGCTTGTGGACATGCATGGCGGCAGCTTGGACGAAGAAAGCGCAACCGAGCTCCACAGCTGCTGCCTCAATTAAAGTCCCACCGAGGGGGTCAAAGCACCGGAACCCGAACCTTTGGTGTTTAATGTGGACTTCGGAAAGACCCAGCGACCAAACGGACGCGGCGAAGGACTGCGCGGCGAACCCAGCGGCGAACTGACAACCAATGAGGATTCCTGCCGCTTTGACGCTGCTGCGGCCACGGCAAACGCTCTCCAGAGCACCGCTTGGGTTGCACGTCGCCTCGCGGAAAGTTAACAAATGTATCATTGTCATGGTGTAGGTGATTGTTAGGGCAACTGATACCTCCAGTTTCAGCGTTTCGCCCAGCAGTTTGAGCTCGTGTGTGCAGCAGCAGAGCTGGAAGGTGGACGCCGCTTCCAGCAGGTAAACCCAGTAAGCTCCGGGGAGAAGACGCGCTGTTCGCCGGAGGGCTTCGCTGAGGAGCACCGCGGCACCGCACACCGCCATGGAAACGTAAAGGTCGGTCATGTTTTTCGGTTGTTTTCACCGACCTTACGAAACAAACCGTTCCTTGTGATGGGGGGCAACTTTGAGGTCCACTTAAGTCCACTTTGTTCCCTCCTTTTACGCGTCAAAGTTGCCCCATGCTGCCGTATCAAACAAGCGCTGCGAAAACAGAAAACAACGCGGTGAAACGTTCAAAATAAAAGCGCAATCATCTGGCAATGGTGTTAAAAGTACTCTTGTCTTTTAGCTGATGTATATTCAGTAAATTAATTATGATTATCAAGGTATTCATGTGCATACTACTTCAATGCTTATGCTGGTAAAAGTGGGGCTAGTTTTTTTTGTTAATTTATAAACTGCTGCGGAATTCACCATGGTAACAGTAACATCTGTATCCTTCAAAATGCATTATAGTTTGTCAGTTGACTTTAATCTGCAGTTGCATATAATCTATCTAGTAATTGGACATATTAAATAAATGTAGCAGGGTAAAAGTAAAATGTGTGCTTCTGAAATTGAGTCAAGTTTAAAGTAGTAGCTCTCAGTTATATTGAATGTAATATTCCATTCCCCATACACACTTAATAATATCCTGCTTTAACTGAACGTTGGCCTTTCAATAGTGTTTTTTTGTCAGAGTTTATATGTTTTTTATTTTCACGGTCTACTGTATATTTTCTACTTTTTAATGTTGCTTTATTTATATCTTGATGTTTACATTTTAGATATGTTCATTTCTACTCTTTAATTTATATGTATGTGAAATGCTGCTGCAATGCAAATGTCCCAAATTGGGATCAATAATCTTATTTTAGTAGTTTTTGTGTTTTTCATTCTTTATGCCAAGCTCATCTAACCATCTCCTGCCTAAAGCCTCACATCTACCTATAGTATAACATCTACCAAACACACATCAGAAAGCTCATTAGAATAACTCCCAACATCTCATAACTATTTATTTCCTATTTACATTCAGGTGGTAATGCTCCAAAGGTTTTATTTTGAAGGTGTCACCGGAAATAGTATTTTTGCGAAGTACTTGATGCTTTGGGGGCGGTGCTCACATCCTGGGAGTGTCAGACCGGTCAGATCAGAACTGTCAAATAGGTCAGTTTATATATACAGTCTATAGGTAGTAACACACTGGAGTTACAGTGCTAAACAGCAGGAGGCACAACTCGCACACAGACAGCTTTTATTGTGAAAGTACTTGGACTTTGGTTCTGCTTTAGTTTTCGTTTTGCACACGAGATGCAACAATGAGGTTAAAGTGCTGACTTGCAGTTTGTGTTCAGCATGTGCAATGTAGGAATTAAAGCCCAGAGGTGGGAGAAGTACTCAGATATTGTACTTGAGTAAAAGTAGAAGTACTCAGATCTTGTACTTGAGTAACTCTGATCTTGTACTTGAGTAAAAGTAGAAGTACTCAGATCTTGTACTTGAGTAAAAGTAGAAGTACTCAGATCAAATACTTGAGTAAAAGTAGAAGTACTCAGATCTTGTACTTGAGTAAAAGTAGAAGTACTCAGATCTTGTACTTCAGTAAAAGTAGAAGTACCAGAGTGTAGGAATACCAGGGCCGTGGGAAGTAGGGGGGCTGAGGGTGCTCCAGCACCCCCTGGTGAAGGGGGTGCAGCCTTGATATAACAACATTCATAATTAAGTAAAGATAACACCCTTTTCACCCCGGTTAAATTTCCATTTGCTCTGTACGATGGGCGCTGTAGTGATGAAAGTGGGAGGTGTTGGCTTATCAGGCGCCCGCAGCTCACAGCCAAAGTGAGAGGGATAGAGAGAGGGGGTGCACCGGTGCCGGCGGGGATTGTTGTTAGCTTCTGCTGCGTTAACGGATATAAGAAGCTGTTTCTACAATAATGTGGAGGGAGAGCTCTGTCCTGTCAGACTTAGAGGCTCAGTGAAAGTAAAGGACTAAATTATCTCAGTGAGTCTCAAACGTTTTCATCACAAT